ACAAATTAAATGACACTTTTGCCTCTCAACGTTTAAACGACGCGCGAGTTCCTTCTCTTTTTCGTTCATTTTCTTCTTCATTTCAGAGCTGGGTTCTGCCATTAGAGCTCAATTTTCTGGTAGGTTTTGCTTTTATTTTCTTCGTTTTTCTATCTTCTTTTTTCTGCTACGTTTTCGTTCGATTTGCATGCTGAATGAGTTTCTTGTTCGATAATTCAATTTCAGAATAATTTTTGCAAGTATATTGGAATGTTACAACTGCTGACCTACTTAAATGTGATTTGATATTAGTTTTAGTACTTTGATTATGCCTTTACCTTTTGAGCAGCAGTGCAGATTTTGACCAGAAACTGCAGTGCAGTTTCTTGTTCGATAATTCAATTTCAGAATAATTTTTGCAAGTATATTGGAATGTTACAACTGCTGACCTACTTAAATGTGATTTGATATTAGTTTTAGTACTTTGATTATGCCTTTACCTTTTGAGCAGCAGTGCAGATTTTGACCAGAAACTGCAGTGCAGTTTCTTGTTCGATAATTCAATTTCAGAATAATTTTTGCAAGTATATTGGAATGTTACAACTGCTGACCTACTTAAATGTGATTTGATATTAGTTTTAGTACTTTGATTATGTCTTTACCTTTTGAGCAGCAGTGCAAATTTTGACCAGAAACTGCAGCGCAGTTTTTTGTTCGAGACTAGAAACTGCAGCGCAGTTTCTTTTTCGATAATTCAATTTCAGAATAATTTTTGCAAGTATATTGGAATGTTACAACTGCTGACCTACTTAAATGTGTTTTGATATTAGTTTTAGTACTTTGGCAGAAACTGCATTGCAGTTTCTTGTTTCATAATTCGATTTCAGACTAATATTTGGAAGTCTATTGGAATTTTACAACTGCTCATGTACATTATTTACTGATTTAAATTGTTTTCTGTTTTTGTTTGTTGTTTTGTTTGCATTTTCAAGGCTAATGGAGGTGTGTGTCATTGCCAAGTGCACATATAAGTCGGAAACCATTATGTTTTCAGTTTCATCAGAGTCATCCATGGTTGATATTTTGAAGACTTTGTGTCTAAGGTTTAAGGGTTTGCAGTTGGGTTGTTTTACGTTACGGTATTCGCTGCCCAGTTATCCGAGTTGTTTTCTAGAAACGGATAGCGATTTGGACATGATGAGGTCATTTTTGTTTGTATCAAATGAGAAGAGTGTTGATATTTTAGTGAAGGATTTATGCGGGAGCAGTGAATATAGTGGTGATTTTTGTGCAAATAAGGAGTTGATAGCATGTGAAAAGGGCGAGTCGTCGTGTTCTAGTACTGTCGAAGACAGAAATGAATTTTTGGGCAGGTCGAAGAGAGCAAGTGCTAAGCCTTTGTTGTCGAATGAGTGGGAGACGTACATACATCATGTAGGGCAGAAGTTTGACGGTGGTGCAGAGGAGTTCCGTTTGAAATTGTGCAAGTACGCTCTTGAAGTAGGATTTAATTTTTTATATGCCGGCAATGACAAGAAGCGGGTGGTTGCTATTTGTTCGAATAAGAAATTTGAGGGTTGTAGCTGGCTTGTTTATGCTTCTCGTTGTGAAGCTACTGGCTATTTTGTAATTCGGACATTAAATAATGTGCATACATGTGTGGGTCGGATACGGGAATCAAAGAGTAAGATGATGAAGTCTCGTGTGGTGTCCTCCCTCATTGTGGACAGAATTCGTGCAAAACCAGAGCTGAAGCCAGTTGAGATTATACACGAGTTCAAAGATTATTATGGTATAGACATTTCATACTACCATGCATGGTTTGGCAAAGAGTTAGCTAAATTGAACGTTCACGGTGATGAGTCGAAGTCCTTCAACGAGTTAGTGTGGTATGCGGATGCCGTAAAGGAAACTAAACCTGGTTCTCTCTGCACTCTTGAATGTGAAGCTGGAATTAATCGCTTTAGACGGTTTTTTGTGTCGTTTGGCGGTTGCATTGCTGGATTTCAATATTGCATACCCTTGTTGTTCGTTGATGCTACGTTTTTGAAGAGCAAGTACAAGGGGCAGCTTCTCTGTGCTTCCGGAAAGAATGGAAATCAAGGTATGGTTACTGTAATGTATTGCAGATTCCATTTGTTGCAATTTTTTAGCAGAAACTGCATTGCAGTTTCTTGTTTCATAATTCGATTTTCTTAGTAATTTTTTTATGTCTGTGGGAATGTTGCAACTGCTCATGAACTTAAATGTGTTTTAAATTTAGTTTTAGTACTTGGATCATGGATTTACCTTTTGGTTTCCTTTCAAATTTGAGCAGATTTGTTTTCAAAAACTGCACTGCAATTTCCCTTTTTTGCTTATACTTGTGCTCTTGGTTTTGTTTTGCAGGGTTTTATCCTCTAGCTTTTGGAGTTGTTGATTCTGAGACAGAGGAGAATTGGACTTGGTTTCTTCAACATTTGGCTTCTATTTTGCTACCGATGGGGAGAGTGGTGACCTTTTTTTCGGATCGCAATCAAGGTTTGTTAAATGCAACGGGGTTTGTGTTTCCTGGATGGCCTCATTCTTACTGTTACTATCACCTCAAACAGAATTTGATATCGAAGTACCCGAAGTCAGGTTATGGGAAATTGCTCCAGGATCGTGTTATCAATTTATTTAGTAGGTGCGCATATACTGTTACAGAGGAAGAGTTTACGGTAGCAATGGAGGAGTTGGTGATTGTTGGGAGTTCGAAAGTGAAGACATTTATATCTGATTTGTCTAGAGATCACTATGCGAACGCATATTTCAAAGGAATGCGGTATGGGGAGATGGCAAATAGTTTAGCGGAGTCATTTAATAATTGGGTTGGTGTGTTTCGAGATTTGCCGGTGCTACCTTTGATAGAAGGGATTCGACAGAAATTGATGGTATTGAATTCTCAACGACGAATTGAAGCGGAGAAGTGGACAACAATTTTGTGTCCGGAGATGGAAACTAGACTGTGGGAAAATGCGGAGGCCGGTAGGACTTGGGTAGTTCGTCGTTCTAGTTTCACTGTTTTTGAAGTATTTGCTGATTATTCTGTGATGGTTGATCTTGAGCAAAGGACTTGTTCTTGCCGTCTTTGGCAAATTGACGGTTTTCCTTGCACGCATGCGGTAGCTGCAATTCTAGCAAAGAAAGATTCAATTTATGATTACGTGGAGTGTTACTATAGGACTGACTTCTTTCGAAAAGCCTATGAGAGTCCTATTTTTCCTATTCCAGATATTGGGAAAGGCTTGGGCAGCAACAGTTTTGCAGCTGGATTTGTGCTTCCGCCAATTACAAAGAGGCCAGCCGGAAGACCACCAACAAAGAGGATCAAAGCTTTTGGTGAATTTAAAAGGCCATTGAAATGCAGTCGGTGTAGTGTTACTGGGCATAATAGGAAGACTTGCAAGGCTGTGATATGAACATTCCTTCTCAGTTGACGATTGCTTACGTTAGATATGGTTTAGTGAATGTATAGTCAGTTTCTGCATTGCAGTTTTAGTTGCTTTTAATTGGCTACACAGCTTCTAATTGGATATTATGATTGTTTTTTGAAGTTAATGAAAATTATACAATTGTTTCATGAGTGGATATTCGTTTTTGACTGCCATTGAATGCTTGTTTTCAGATTTGAGCAGATTTTGTTGCAGAAACTGCACTGCAGTTTCTGTTTATTTGTTGCAGATTTTGAACAGAACTTGTCCCATAATTCAATTTCAGAATACTTTTTGCTAGTCTATGTTGTGATTTGATATTAGTTTTAGTACTTTGATTATGCCTTTACCTTTTTGAGCAGCAGTGCAGATTTTGACCAGAAACTGCAGCGCAGTTTCTTGTTCGAGACCAGAAACTGCAGCGCAGTTTCTTGTTCGAGACCAGAAACTGCAGCGCAGTTTCTTGTTCGAGACCAGAAACTGCAGCGCAGTTTCTTGTTCGAGACCAGAAACTGCAGCGCAGTTTCTTGTTCGATATTTCAATTTCAGAATAATTTTTGCAAGTATATTGGAATGTTACAACTGCTGACCTACTTAAATGTGTTTTGATATTAGTTTTAGTACTTTGATTATGCCTTTACCTTTCAAGCAGCAGTGCAGATTTTGACCAGAAACTGCAGCGCAGTTTCTTGTTCGAGACCAGAAACTGCAGCGCAGTTTCTTGTTCGA